GAGAGAGACAGAGACAGAGACAGAGACAGAGACAGAGACAGAGACAGAGACAGAGAGAGAGAGAGAGAGAGAGAGAGAGAGAAACTTTGCCATGTGCTTAACTTTGGTTTTGACTATAAGAAATTTAGAAAACGCTGTAAATGCATAGTGAGTTGAAGATAAGCCTGAACTGCACAGCAAGACCTGTCCCAGAAAAGAAAGCAAAAACAAGGAAGGAAGGAAAGAAGGAAGGAAGGAAGGAAGGAAGGAAGGAAGGAAGGAAGGAAGGAAGGAAAAAAAGGAAAGGCCTAACTCCTAACCACTTTTGTCTTCTGCCCCTCTGTCCAGCTGTCTCCTCACAGCCTGTCTTCCCTTTGCCTTCAACAGATCCTGACACATATCAGGCCCAAGAGCTGACCTGCACTGTCCTGCCAGGGGTTGCTGGGACAGCCCCACTACTGGAGGCAGGCTCCTGTCCATAATTTGCTCTTTCACCCCTCTTCCTCTCATCTCCTATTTGTGACTTCCTCACAGGAAGGGACTGGTATAAATCATCCCATAGAGTGACCCTATTGTTACTACAGCATCTAGATTCAAATAGATACTGTGTGTCTTCCTCTAAGACTCAAATCTCTCCCCATGTCACTACCTGGGCATAATTCTCTGCCCACATCCAAGCCCCCCTGCCTGCAGACTGTATCTCCTTCATTTCCCAGATTCCAATCCCCCTCCTCCCAGAACCACCAGGTAACAACTGCCCTCCCTCCCTGGCATACTAGGATCCTTCAGCCTCTGCATTCCAGGCTTTGCTGTCCTCCATAAAGCCCACTCCAAACTCCTAAGGGGAGATCACACTGAACCCTTAGATCACAAGTCCTGTCCTCACTCAACTTTCCACACTTTGAAGGAGGCCCTGTTACTTCTGGAAAGGCTCAGAATCACGAGACCTTCTCCTGTCACCCTCTACTCATGCCATGTCTTCAGAAACCCGTGTCTTCATCCCACCCACCTGTCCCTCTATCCCTCTGCACCTCCTGTCCCAGGGTCAGTTCTTGCTCAGACGCAGTGCTAAACTTCATGGAGCCATGCACTTGAGAATGGGAGGATGGATCCTTTGACAAGGATAGAGGAAAACCTCAGAGCACACAGAGGGAAGGGACCATTGCTCCCCAGAGATCTCATGGAGGGCTTCCAGCAGGCAGGATTGAGCCTAGATTTTGGATAGATGTCCATAGATGGGGGCCTGGAATGTCAGGGCAGAGGGAATAACAAGCAAAGACTCCCAGGAGGGCGGGAGTGTCAAAAGAGTGGGTGGTGAGGCAGCAGGGAGTGGTGAAGGAACTCACAGGGCTTGGGGATAGGAAGGCAGGCAGGACCCAGTGGCTGCCTAACAAGTGCCCCATGGACCCGGCAGGTGTGGGGATACTGAAGGGTGTGCACAGGAGGAAAGGATGGCAGCCTTCTAAGGGAACCCTGCTGGCTGCCTGGCTCATGGGCTGTAGGGGCCAAGTGCAGACAGGACCCAGGTAACAGGTGTCTGCTGCCAAAGCCCTTGTGATCACACTTTCAGCTGGGAGGGACACAGTGGGCAAAGTCAGACCAGGCAGAGAAAAGCATAGGCAGGCAGTAGCAAAGTTCCTTCTCTGCTAACATTTGCTTGGTCTGCTTTTTCACCCTGTGGCTGAGTCCACATCAGTCATGAACTCTCACCTGCAGGGAACTCTTATTCAGCTTGCTCTTCATGAGCTTCGTGCTTCAGCGTGTGATGTGTGCTTTTCACTCCTGTGTCTATTCTCTGAGATAGGCACTGTTAGCCTAGGTGAGGTGCCAATACACAAAGAGAGTCTTTGACCAAAGTCTTGCTGCTAGAGGGGGATTGGAACCCAGACAGATTGCTGCAGAGCTCACCCTCCACTCATGAGCCTGAGGGCTACAGTGCCCACTCCGATCTCTGTCCATGGAGACTTCAGCCTTCCAGCAAAGCCTGGAGGAAGGTAGGGCCACAGCTGCTGAGCCTGGTGGATGCCCAAAGACAGAACTGACCACACAGGTTGGCAGGGGCTGGACAGGCCAAGGCTGATGGGAAAGGCCCCTCTAGGTGGGTGTCCATGTTGTTTTCCTCCCTCCCTGCTGGGGCCATGGCACATCTTGAATGTGGAATGCCACTTGCTAGCCTCTGCCCTCCCTTTCTGCCAACAAGCTCCAGGCCTCCCCAGCAACAACAGCCCAGAGTTCATGTTGTGGAGGGGCAAGATTTGTTGACAGTGGGGAACGCAGAACTCTGGGAAAGGACACAGAACTGCACTGAGGGTCCTGGCTCAGTCTGGGGCCTCACCATCCATCATGCTTAGTGAGCCAATACTGCCTTAAGCAACCCAAAGGTGTTTCCCTCACCCAGTGCATGCTCAGCCACTGTGCGTAGGACAGAGTGAGTCAGAGCTCCTGAGGAATCTGGACCAGAGTTCCTTATGTGGACATCCTGTGGAGCTGGCATTAGGTCCAATGCATTGACTCTCTGCTGGCCATGCAAGGGTCTGTCTATCCTACCCTACTAATCCAGGTGGGGACAGAATGGCACCAGCAGTCCCAGCCCCTGTAGAAGGCCAATTGCATTTCCTGCTCTCTGAGTCTTGGCAGGGCCAGAAAAGTCTACTTGTGTCACTGTCTTCCTCCTAACTCACCTACTTGAGCTACCCAGTGTGGGGTCCCCTGCCTGCCACAGTGTGTCCCTACAGTGTGTCAGTTGGAGGGCTCCCTATCATGGTTCCTGACTGGGTGAGCTCTTCCCATCCCCTGTCCAGCACCTGTTTAGGGACAAAGCAGCATCAGCGATGTACCACTGGATTGTTTTCCAGCCACATGACCAGAACAGCCAACATCCAATATAGGATTTTTGTTCCTGGGCAGATCCTGCTTATAACAGGCAGCTCATGGACCAGGACCTCCTTGCTATAGTTTTACTTTTCCTCTTCAGCTTTCCATGATCTACACTGACAGACATGACAAGCCCACACACACATGCTGCATGTGCATCCTGAGTTCCACGTCTCTATGCACACTTCATCTGCTGGTGAGAGAGACCTTGTCCTCACCAGGTTCCCTCTCTCCCTGAGCACCAGCCTTGTATCTGCCTGCCATTTCTCCTGGCAGGTGAAACATGCACCTTTACCAGACCCCAAAGGGCTCTTTCCTGGACCTTCCTCAATTAAGCAAGACAATCATGACTTGTGCTGTAGCTCGAGCCTCCTCATCTTTCTCCTCTCCTTTCCTCACATCCCGCTCTGACTCTATCGCTCTATTTTCATCCATGCTCCCCACAATCCAGAATCTGCTCACTGCTGCTACTTCCAAGTCCCCAGCCCCTCTGCTTCCGCTCCTTGGGATGGTGCAGTCTCTC